GGGCGCTCTATCGGTGGGAAGAGGCAGGAAGAGCCTGATTAAGTGGGTTCAAGAAAGCCTAAGAGGAAATGAGTTGGATACTACAAGTATGGAAAGTCTTTGAACACGTTTTGCCTTACAGGGGGGAAGAAAAACGAGGTAGCAGTTGGAGAGAATACAAGCTGAAGACAGTTTTTAGAAGGCAGTGATGTTACAGAATATTTGTATAAGACAAGCCAATGGAGAGGCGGAGATGACGATGCAAGAGAGATCCATTGCAGGAGCAATGTTCTTGATGGGGGATAGGGGATGGAACCTGATGGACAAGTGGAGTGGTGTGATCATAGATCACTTTGATCTAAAGACCATCTCATCAAGAACTCCAACAACTTTCCCCCACTGCCTCCTTTGCATAACACCAAAGGTCTATCTTTGTGTTCTAACCACAGCCCACATTTCATCTATGAAAAGTGAATACTCTTCTAACTTGTATCAGCCTCTTCATGTTTATGCACACATCTAGGATTCCTTTCCACTTTGTACTATTGAGTAAGGAAAGAAGGCTATACATATTCAGTAGAAGCCGTACTTCGAGTATCCATGCAACCATCTGGATTTTTACTTTCAGTAAGTATAGTATTCTATACTTACATGAGATATTCAACACTTTTGTTATAAAATGGGCTTTCTGTTAGGTGATTTTGCCCAATTGTAAGCTAATTTAAGTGTTCTGACCATGTTTAGGCTAGGCTAAGGTATGCCATTCAGTAGGTTAGGTGTACTAAAAGCATTTTTGGCTTATGATATTTTCTAATTACCATGGGTTTATTGGGATATAACCTCCATGGTAAGTTGAAGAGCGTCTGTACCTGGTGAAGCATTGTATTGGCTGATCTGGAAGCCACACATATCACTTCTCACATCCCATTGGAGAGCAGTCAGTCACATGGTTGTACCTGATCACAAGAGAGACTGGGAAATGTATTGTTGCTGGGCATCTACTTTATGACGGTGGAAGAAGTGTAGCATGGGTTTGGGTGGACAACTGGTAAACTCTTCATAGGCATCCTTTATGATACCAGTAGTTCTTTTTTAATATGGATGAGCTTATAAAATTTTAAGCAATAAAACATAAAATGTACAAAAGGGTACAAAAAGGAATTCAAATATGCCATTAATCCTTTCTTAACGAGACTATCAAATATTCTCCTTCTCTTAGAGCTCAAGGTTAGAATAATGAACCTGTTTTGACTAACAGCATTCCTGTAGCCTTCAGATTGAGCTGTTTGTATATTGAGAGAGGCATTTTTGTGTGTGTCCTCTATTAAAGCTTTGTCAGCATTTTACAGTTTTAGAAGATGAATTTGTTTTTGTTCCAAGTGTTTTTAAGTGCTTCAGTCAGTGGTCAAACAGGTTTTGAGCCTAGCTTTCAACACCAACACAGAGAGGGAGAAAGAAAAATAATCGAAAATAAATTCCACAGTCTAAAATGAACTTTTATCAAGGCTTTTGCTCTTTTAGACTTGAGGTTATCTTTATAATTAAGGAGAATGGTTTTTAAAATTTAGTTCCTCTGACACCCCAAAATTATCAAAATAAATCATGCCACAGTGATTCTGTGTTTTGAAAGTCATTGATAGGACTTATATGAGTCAGAATTTTATGGATTATAAACTAGGCTTTATCTGGTTGAAAAAAATCGCAACACAAGAAGCAACTTTATTAAATTAGACCTGAAGTCACAATCTGTTCTTTCCTGCTTTTTAAAAATTACCTATTACCTTTAAAAGATCCCAAATTTAGAAGAGGAATTAAAATAAAAGTTAATATAATAAAACACTTCCACAATATTCTATTACTTCAACATCTAATCAATAAAAACATTAATGGACTACTCTTTTACCACACCTGGTAGAGATATGTTTGGGACATAAAACAGTTTAAAACCTTCAAAAGATAATGACTCAATATTTTCTTGTAAGACAAGTACTATTAGCACCTGGAGCACATCTGAAGGTCTACTTCTCAAAAGCATTCTGCATTTCAGCATTATTTTGACCTGTACATTACACTTTTCCCTTCCCTCATCTTAGTGAAGTAGAGAGATTACTGATCTATTTCTTTATCTTAATCATTCCTCCCTAACCCCAAAACAAAGAATACAAATTAGAATCTACAAAATGTATTGTGCCCATGGAAATACATAGTTTTGTTACTGTACTCATAGATGTTTACTACCCTTGTTAGTTTGATTCTGAAAAAAAAAAAAAAAAAATGCTTTCCCGGTTGTAACATTCTTCAGATTTTCCATTTCCAAAAGGTATAGGTGCATCCCAGCTACCTTAGAAAAGGAACACTGTGTACCTGCATGCTGTTTTAGTGAAACCAGACAATGAATATTCAGCAGGCTCAAATGTGTACAGAAATAACATGACAATTAGAATTACTAAAAAGCCTTAGAGAAGAATATTGAACAATATTGTAAATCAGCCTTTGTGAATTACATCTACAAAACCTCAAGTCGTTGGAGAGTTCTTAAACTTATGGATAAAACATGTAAAAAGTGGTAGGGATGGAGTTGAAGAAGTTAATACTTGTTTTAACCTGGAGGTCAGCTAAGCTTTCTCACATCTCACAACTGCTTTTTGCAAAGCTGTCTATTGTGTGACCTAACTGACTTTATTCTGTAGTTCCTAACGCCTGTTTCAGTTATATTTTGGTTCCTCTGTTTAGGAAAAAAAAAAAAAAAAAAAGCCATCTTCTAACCTTCTAACATCATCTAACTGAAATATCTCTAAATTTATATAATGCTATTATGTTTTATTTTCTGTTCACTCTTATTCTTTCTGAATATTTCTTTTTTATTTTATTTTTTTCTTTTAAGCTATCTCCTACAGGAAGGATCTGAATATTTCTTAGCCTTGATCTGAAAATGATTAGTTCTTTGGAAATAGTCATTTACATGTAATTATGAATGTATCATTTCATTGGCGCTGCTGTGAAATGAACTGAAGATAGAGGATTGTGCTTTCCTTTGGAATTCATGTTTCAGAGCTTTAGGAAAACCTAATACTATTGCACTAGATCTTACACTAAAGATTCTGATAATCTATTGAAGATTACCAATGGGAACAAAGATTCTTTGTCATAGATACATCCCTCTTCATCAGGAAAGTCACACTCAGGTAATAAGAGCAATTATTCTTGATTTAATGGGAGCCATTTTATAAAGGCCTCTTCTAACTCAAACTTTAGAGGTATGAATAAAATTGAATGTTGTAATTTTTAATTTCTCGGATCCATTCTAAAATTATCTAAGTGTGTAAATTGATGCTCAGTATTCTAGTATTCTAATGGCAGACACAAACACTGTATTTCCTGTTCTTCGGACAGTGTCTTGACTGTGAACAAATAACAGTAAAATATTTTCCTTGGAGACATTATAACAAACATCTTGGAGATATTATAACAAATAACAATAAAATGTTTTTCTTGGTTCAGAAACAATAACATCAACAATTCATTAATTATATTATTAACAGTATTCATTAAATGTACCAGGCATTATTCTATTTTATTTTTTTTTTTTTTTTGATACGGAGTCTCTCAGTGTTGCTAGTCTGGAGTGCAGTGGCGCAATCTCGGCTCACTGCAACCTCCGCCTCCCAGGTTCAAGCAGTTCTCCTGCCTCAGCCTCCCAAGTAGCTGGGACTGCAGGCACGTGCCACCACACCCAGCAAATTTTTGTATTTTTAGTAGAGATGGGGTTTCACTATGTTGGTCAGGATGGTCTCGATCTCTTGACCTCGTGATCTGCCCGCCTCAGCCTCCCAAAGTGCTGGGATTACAGGTGTGAGTCACCGCGCCAATCATTATTCTAGTACTTTATGTATCACTTTATTTAATCCTCATGACCACCCTATGTTAACTATTGTTGCCATCTTCATTTTCCAGATGAGGAAATTAAGGCTGAAGTAGGGTCATACAATTGGCAAATGGTAGAACTGGAATTCTAACCCAAGTATTCTGATTCAGAGTCACCGTCGTAACTATTATGTTATGATATCTCTCTTTGTTTCTATTCTTTAATGGAGCCCAGGGTGTCAAACTGAGAATTCCAGGCAGATTGGCCAAACCAACATAAATGGAAAATAATTCAGCTATCTACCAAGCCAAAGATTAGTTTTCTATTCTAATTATGTGTTTATTTTGTGGAGATCGTTGTAAATGCCAACTTCATGGGATTATTGTGAACCTTAATTAGATTTACTTAGTAAAGGGTTTTATTATAATGGAATGTTATTGATATGTAGATGAACATATGTTACTTTCATATATGTATAATTTACTTTGATGACACAGGATGAGTGGATTATGCTTAATATCCTTTTAATGCAGATATAAATCTGAGTTAACAAAATTCAGGTCCAAATTTCCAAGGCAGCTTTGTTTTTGAGTTTGCTGAATTCAGATATTCTCTTGTTTGCTTATGTGTAATCTCCCTTCAAGGAAATGGCTTACTTATTCTGTTCCAGTCACCTGAATGATATTTAGAAAGCATTGGCCATATTCACAGAGGCAGTCAAAAAAATCTTACATATATGCCTCCTGGTAAGCAGTAACCCTACCTGGTCAGCTGAAAATGCATACTATTCAAATTAGGTTTTCTGTCTTTTTCCATCTTGGCTAATATAAAGATTAACATTAAATATTGTAGAAAGGTTCTTAAATTTTCATTTCTGTTTATAGATATTTTACAGCTTATGTATAAGCTACATGTTACTCTAGATAATATTAGCAGTATACACTAAGTATGTATGTGTGTGTGCATATATGTATGTATGTATATATATACAAATGTGTATACTCCACCTTCAATTTTATCAATATACACTGAATATATATAAATGTGTGTATGCATATGTATATATACATTCTTAAACATATATATATATATAGAGAGAGAGAGAGAGAGAGAGAGAGAGAAAATGTTACATCAGTTTCTGATGAGATTCGAGGTCAGATTCCTCAATTCTAAGTCTGACCCACCCTGATTCTGTAACAATCTGGGTTTTGCTATTTAGCTGTCCAAAGTGGATAATACCTAAGAGAGACATTATAGGGCACAATGGCCATTTTTGTGATGCTGTCACATATCTTTGTTAAAAGGATGATAAAGTTCAATAGACAATTCTATGAAAGTAGGATATAATAAACTGTCATAATTTTACTAGTTTAAACAAAGATAAAAATATGAGGACTAGAATTAGTTTATATATACATATTATGTGATTTTTCTATTTTAAAAAAAGGAGGGTCTGCATTGCATATTTCTTACCATTCCTGTTGGACAACCAATAATGGTTCTGTTACAGAATATGGAAAGTCTAAATTCCACTCGATCTCATGAGAGAACCGGACCTGATGGTTTTGAACGGATGTCCGATGAAAGGTAATTTTAGAATTATCTCCTAATATTCTTTCCAAGGGCAGGAAAAGGTTATTTTCATGTAATGCAATGTGAATTATAAGAACTAAAAAGATTGGATTTAAAGGACTATATATTTACCAGCAATATTTTATAGCAAGGAAAATGCTTAGAATAGAAAATCTATCACAGTGCTATTGAAGGCAAATAACTATAGTCATGTTTATTTGTGTTTCCAGTTTGCTTTGTTTTGATTAATTTTTCGTTTTGTGTTTTGTTTTTGAATTTTGTAAGTATTAGGCTTAGAGCTACTCAACATACTCTTAAAATAAAATTATAATATCAATGGATGAAAAACATTGTTATAAAACAAGTAGATATTTTATGATTTTGTTGTTGTTGCTGTTATTTATAGGAAAGGAGGTGAAAAAGATGGTGGACACACTCAGCATTTCGAGGTGAGTAACTAACAAGCAAGAGTAAGACTGTGATGGAGCTGTTCATACACTCTTCAGTGTCCCTCTGAAATATTAGTCTGTCAGTAAGGGACAATGAGCTAAGTAATATGACTGTGATTGATTAGAAAGGCAAATACCAAACTTAAAGATTCCTTGAGAAATCGTAAGAACTCCATTATTTTCCTTTGTGAATTATTTTGTTTTGCTTATGATGATAAACTTTAATAGCACAAGAATTTCTCTTTAGATTTTCTATAAAGTAAAACAAAACAAAAAGTCAAAGCTACTGGTTTTATTTTCCACAATTTGATGCATTTTTTAAGTGATTGAAATATGTAGGTAGTGAGTCTTAGTCACAAGGATTAGGTCATGAATCTTCAAATTAACATAAATTCACTTTGAGTTACTTAATCCAATTTGTTTGCTGAGTTTTGTCTCTCATTTTAAATAGACATTGGAGATAAAAGCCTCTCACCTCCCTTATGTCATCTGTATCTTCAAGTTTGATTTACTTCCCTGGCCTCCCACTTGTCCTCCAGGCATCACCATGCTGACCCAAGTATTTGGTTTCCCTTTCTCCCAACTCCAGCTCCCATTCAGTGTGCCGAGCATCATTTTTATTTCATGTATGTGTATGCAATCTACTACGTCCAGATACTTCCAACTCCACCTTCAATCTTATCAGTTTTGCTTTTCAAGAAGTAAAGTTTTTCTTAACCCACTCTTAAATTCTGACTGTCGATATAAAGAGAACATTCCCTCTAACGCAATAATTCTTAATCTCTGTTGGGCACTGACCGAATTCACTGATGGATTTAATCAACAACATATATTAAATCCTACTAGGTACAGGTACTGTGCTAGGAGCTGTGATTTAATGACAGCCACAGTCTATTCCCCCATGGAGTTTTACAGCTTAAAAATCAGAAAGCTACAGACCCTCTTAGAAAATTGTATTATTAAAAAATGTGCATGACACCAATATGGCACAAGTATACATATGTAACAAACCTGCACGTTATGCACATGTACCCTAGAACTTAAAGTATAATAATAATTTTTAAAAAGTGCATAAAAATCCTAGAAATTAATCCCCACTCCCTGAACACATGCTAATGCTCATATCTACTGTATTCAACTCTTGTCATATATATACTTCTTCACTAGATAATTTAGCCAGATAATAGGAGGGGAATGCTTCCTCTTTCTGACCCCACAGCTTCTGAGCCACTTTTTTCATCTATTTCCAACTCATTTATGCTTCCTTCCTTGGGACCCAGGCAACAAGCTGACATTCTTTTCTTATCTCTAGGCATCTTTTTAAAGATCATGTTTCCCCCATGTTAGTGTCATGTTGTGTTTTGTTTTTTATGGTTTTATCCTTTCACTGCCATCTTTCTCCACTCACAGGAAGCACCTACTCATCTCCCATCTAACATGATTTTAAAGAAAATTGCTTTGCCAGTCTCCTGGAGAGGTCTTCTCAGTTCTTTCCTTTTGTGCCTGTTATCTTTTATGAGGTAAAAGGGAATAAAAGTAACTTTTGTGGATGGACTTCATAGCATTAACTCATAAATTCCAAGTAGCACACAAACTAAATGGCAAACTAAACTGAACTCAGTCTGCCTTGGTCTTTGGTGGACAGCTCCCAGGACAGTGGATGAATCATGGGGAAACAATCTCACATCCTTCTTCCATGTGCCAAGTCCTCTTCTTATGTGTGTTATCCATGTGCAGCCACCAATCAGTGCCCAGTGCCACTGCTGGCACTGCTTAGGCATTCACTAATAATAATCATTGTCATCATGATGGTTTTGGTTAGGAGATAAAATTAGGTGGTGAACTAAAATCTAGACTAAGCTCTCCATGTCACCTTTCTATCACAGCTGCACCAAAGGAGAAAAATAAGACATCACTACACAAGATTGGGATGATTTCTACTTGTGAAAGCATGTGCTTCTTTCACTGAAGGAAATTTATTGTGTTATTATCCATGAAAGACAGTGAAAAGAACTGTTTTCCATTTTGTAGGGGTTTTTTCTTTGTTTCAGTGTGCTGTTATTTACTACTTTTTAATATATGTAGTACTTCCTAAAACTTACACCACCCAGTATTTAATCTGGTTTTCTAGTAAAAACATCAATAACCTTTCATTTTCAGTGATGAAAAATAAGTCTATACTTTGGTTACTCCTCCTAGAGTTCTGTTTAACCAGTATTTATTTTGTTTCAGGTCTCATTGCATAAGATTGAGATGTCAGATTTTACATGTCCACTATTGAATATATATTGTAATATTTCTAATTTTGTTTTCCATTAAGATAGACTTCGTCCTTATTAGTATTGTGATTTAAAATTCTCCTTGTAAAATCTCAGATTCATATAAGATAACATAGCAAATGACAGCTCTTGCGGAAAGGTGATTTTTTGGGGGGGACTACTGTTTCCATTAGAATGAGGAACACTTGTTTTCAGCCTCAGAAATGCTCTTTAGAGACAGGCAGAGAGAGGCTTCTCTTAGATCTGCGGCTCGAAGGCAAATGAAGTTACAACTGTGACCCCAGTTCTTAAATAATCAGTTTGCAGCCTTAAATGTGTTTTGTTTGAAGGTATGTGTTGAAAGTGAACATGGGCTTATCCCTTTATTTCATATCTTTTTAATTTATTTTAATTATGCAACTAATCTCAGAAGTTCTGAGATCTCAGATGGGCATTGATCAATAATAGTTACCCATTTCTATTTCATGAGTTCCTTATGTGGTTTGGATTAAAATTTGTTTAGTGACACACTGCCAATGAGAAAAAAAGTCAGGAGTCACTTTGAAATGTCCAAAATTAAAGTACAATTTCTTCAGGTAGGTTCAGAAAGGCTGATATTTTAATAAAATATCTTATCTGGGCAATATGAAATGAGATAACATGAGGAAGAGCCTAGCACACTGCTCCCTGGGCATGCAAAATCTACAGTCTTTGTTCTTCTGTGTATTTTTAAACTCTTTTAACAAACTACAAGTATCCAGAAGATAGGTAATCCTTAAAACTAGCATTTTCTAGATTCTAAAAGATATCCCTGAAATTACCGATTTTCAGAGTTCTGTTTCCAAGGGAGTTTATACTTTACGCTGCAATTTAATCCCTGTTTTCTATGATGAAAATATTTTATTCTTCTCTATAAAATCCAGAATATTAAAACTAAAACCTTACAATGAATCTCTGTTGAGAAGTCAAAACAAGTAAGAATTATTAACTACATGTGAGGGAATTACATTATCTGGGAGAGATCATTTTATGTCAGAATTACAAGGTCAGTGAAGTGTTAAGTTCTTTCAAAATATTTTTACATTCTTTATGCTTTCTAAGCCTACTGCTTAAGAGAGCTTAGAAGCATACCTTTGATAACAAACAAGACATTCATAATTTTAAAAAAAGACTAGTTCCATGTTTCTTATCCTGCTTCAAAACAAAAAGGAAAAGAAAAAGAGAGAAGGAGAGAAGACAAGGCTTTTCAATCAAGACTGAGAATTAATATTAGTTATCACAAGATCTTAAGTGCAGGCTCTTATTTGCCCTGAAAAAGTGAATTTCTGAAAAGTATTTATGAAATGGATGACTGTTATTTTGACTTCACTGTTTTCATGGAAGCTTTAGGACTTTGTTTTAATATTATAACCAGAAAAATTAACAAGCTCTATTTACTTCACATTCGCTTCCAAATCAGTCCAATAGCCAAAGCCTAATGAAGCTTTGGAGTTCACATAGATTTTGAAAATTTATGTCTACTTTTCCTTTATTGTCAGGCCAAACAAAAAATGTTTGTGGTTCTGTGTAGTTCTTCTGTTAATACTGTCGTTTCTTCCTATGCAAACTGCATTATATGGCATATTTTCTGATATTGTCATTCCTGGCTCTGATAAACTATTAGGCCACTTAACTATATCCTGTGCAGGGCAATAGAAGGAATAAAACAAAAATTCGCCAACTATTTGAAGCCAGAGAAAGAACAGGATCAAATAAAGTCTGAGGATAGAAAAAGGTAGGTCCAGCTGGACAGGGATAAGTCTTGGCAAAGATTAGACTGATAGCTTCATAATTAATGGCTCCTTGACCTGAATGTGAAATGTTACCTGAGGCCCCAGGAGAGATGAGCTCTCTTTATATTTGCCCCCTAGCATCCTACGTTTCTTTTATAACACACATGATACTTGGCACTTGTATGTTCAGTGTCTCTCTCTTGCACTAAATCCCTTATCTTGCTTGCTACTAATTTCCAGTGCCAGGGACATAGCATGTGTTCAGTAAACACTTGCCAAATGTATGAATGAATGAATGGGAAAGGAAGGTAGGGTATAAATGGAAATAACATTGTTTATAGTTCCTATAGGCTGTTTTATACACACTTTTCATTTTAATCCTCACAAACCTTACAAAGTCTTGTTCCTGTATTTGAGGGGAAAAAAAAAAAAAAAAGCTAAAGTTCAAAGACGTTTACTCACTGAAAGTCTTGCAGCTAGTAAAGCTGGTGTCTAAACGTGAGTCTCTGCCTCTAAAACCCATCCTAATATGCCATACTGTGTTGTCTCACCTAAAAGCCAAACACTCGATTTGTTTCAATACACAAATATTTGGTGTGTTCTCATATAGTGCAGCATTTTTGACGATGTTTAGCATATGACATCACAGTACAAGGATCTTGGAGTTGAAAATTGTGAAATTAATTTACTTACTTTGTGATTTAACAGAAGATATTAGACATGTAAACAACAAAAGTGGAGACCAAAAATATTTTTATATTTGAGAATGCCTTTGACGTTTTAACCTTAATGATCTAGTAGGAGAAATAGATAATATTTGCAATACTATGTGAAGAGCCCTGTTAGAGAGGGTGGTGCACCTGGGCAAGATGCTTCACCCAGACTGCGCTAACATTTGAAGGCAGGGCGGTTTTTATGCTAGTGTTTACGGAGCCTGAAGTACTTCACCATGGGCCATAGGACATAGGACAGGCTCCCTGGCACCCACATGCACAAAAAACCATCAGCAGCCTGCAACCCCAGGCAAGACAACCCTGTCACGTCATAGACCAGCAGGACCAAAAGTTGGGACTTGGGCAAGTAAGAAAGCAACCTCAGGGATTGATGGGAGCACAGCAGGACAGGGCCAGTCTGTACGTGCGTTTCCACATGCAGTTGGAGTGTGCTGTGCTTAGGGTGTCCAGGGCTATGCCAGCTGGTGTAGGTTTGTGTAGGAGGGATCTCTCCACTGCTGTACCACAAATCAGCCAGGAAGTATAGAAGCTCATGTAAGTTGACATAGGTCTATGATGTGAATTACCTAATGCCTCATTATATATGACACATCCTCACCCTCTGTATACAATGGCTCTGGCCATCCTTTCCTGGATTCCAGAAACAGTGACCTCTGTACTATTCCTGAAACACAGAAAAACTGACCGTGCCCCAGAGCCTTTGCACTTGGCTTCTTTCTTCCTGGAATGCTCTTTCCACAAATGACCCACTTTCTCACCTCCTGTCACTTTATCACAGAGACCATCCCTGAGCACTCAATATAAAACAGAGGCCTCCACCACTACCACCGACATCCCTCTTACTTTATTTTTCTTTTATTTGTTATATTCCTTTATTTTTCTCCAGAACCCTAACAGTTTTTCGTTAACTGTCTTCTCTGTAAGACTCATTATGACAGAGATTTTGTGTGTCCACCATAGTTTCACCAGTGTGTGAAAAAAACATCTAGCAAATAGTAGGTACTGAAAAATCATTTCTTTTGAATAAGTTTTGTCTTTGTATCTCTAAAGACATAATAGGCAGCCCTATTATGAAATAATATTTTTTGAATATATAAGTATATAATATTTAGCCCGGTATATAAGGCCTTTCACAGTCCAGCATCTACTTAGCTGACACCCCTGTTATCTGCCATTCCCCCTTCTTGTTCTAAGCACTGGTCACCCTGAAACTCTTCTCTTGCTGTAGCCAAGCATGCCACGCTCTCGTGCCTGCATCTGCACTTGGTATTCCTCCTTCCTTCTGTGTGATGTGCCGTCCTCCCTCACCCCTCCAGCCCACACCTATCTGCCCCCAAATCAAAATTTCTGTTGCTGATTCATGATGGATGCGCTAGTGGCTCTTTTCACTAAAATGTTTTCATAATGCATTTGACATTGTCTTCCATCCTTTGTTGCAGTATGCCTCCCCTCAAATTGCAAATGTATTTGCTTTGTCTCCAATTCCTCTCTCTAGCAATTCTGAGGCGTGCCGGTGTTTTATTCATTTGTCTTCATATGGTGTCAGATAGTAGTAGAGAAAGAATAATGGCTTTCATTTGTGTCTCTCCTGCCCCAGACATCATGCTAGAGGCCCTTCATACCTTCTGACAGATCTTCGAAAGAACTTTGCAAAGTTGGTATCACTTATATCATTTTAAAGGTTAGGTAATGGAGGCTCAGAAAAGGGAAGCAACTCAGCCAGGGCACCAGGCTAGTAAATGTCAGAGCCACACTTCAAACCCAGGTCTGCCTGTAAGCAAAACCCTTGTCCTTTCCATGGCATGATGACATAAATGACTTGATGTATATTCCTCGTGAAGGAAATACCATACTTGAAAAATGAAATCGTATTTCTAGTATTCTTTTTTTGATGCCTGTAAAGGTAATGAGCATTTTAAATCTTTTTGAGAAAATGCCTATTTGCTGTATGCATATTCTCACTCTCTTTTGCTTTCCCCCGCCTGCACCCCTGCTCCCCCACAACCCAGGCACACACACAATTGGTGACTGAGTGGCTTTGTAACTTAAAAAGCTGAGAACTAGATTTGGGCATTTAACCCTGGTCCACTTAGGCTTTAGCTTCAGGGAAAAATACTTTTTGTGACATAAATGCCTAATCTGGCTTTTTCCCCAGTAAACAAACTGCATTTTTAAAGTATCTTAAATCTCCAGATTTACTTGGCATTTCTATAAGACTTTAGTGGCTCATCAGGACCTGAATGATGGTATTTCATTTTATCCCAAATGTGAAGAAAATATGTCTCCATGCATCATTTCAGGGAAATATAATAGTAGAAAGCCCTGGCTATTCCCTGATGATTTCAAAGTGGGTTGGAGAGCTATTAAAAGTAGCTGCAAGTCTTAAGTAGTGCTTTAAGCATAGGAACGTTTCTCATACATTAACGAAATCACTTTTGATTTCCAGATGTTTTTAGTTTTTTCATTTAATTATAGTATATTTGCCAAAGTACATTTGTAGTTACTCCAAAAGAAGATCTTTTGTACCCATCTGTAGTACTTAAGGAATACATTTGTGAGCAAACTGTTTCATAAACACTTTTGTTTATAATTGTATGAGACAGGGAAGACTGACAGTGGTTGAATTTACGAATGACCCAGAGAAGAAGGTTTAAAAAAAATTAATTTCAGTGCAATTTGTTTAAACATAAAATTATTGATGTGAATATCAGCCTTTTGGGGAGGATTTCTCCATTCCCTCAGATGTCCTAGCCTGGTGTAAGCAAGTATAGCCAAGTATTTAATATTCAGAGTAGATGAATAGTAGGAAAACAAGTGACAGTTGCGTATTTGTAAGACATGAATTATGCATCACTGACTTGCCAGCTCTTGACTTTTTACTTAAAAAAAAAAAAAAAAAAAATTGCTCCCTATGTAATTTTGGCTCATTTCCAGAGTCCGTATTCTTTACTGCTAGCTGAGATGAGACACCAAACCCCGGTGCTGTTTGAATTTGCGCAAACAATGCTTTAATACCCAGAGCTCCTCCATAAATAGTCTGTTCTCCCAGTACTCAGCGAGAAAACAACCACAGGAAATCTGGGAATGTGCAGCTAGCCCCGCTTAATTGATCTAAGCAGCCAGGGCTGGCAGGGGAGCTTTCACGTACACAGCCTCTGTTCCTGGCTCGCAGGACTGTTTACCTAAGGGGCAAAGAAGTCCACCTGCGAAAGACACCATGTTGCTACTACAGCCTTAGCAACAGCAGTAGCCCGGTTTTCATCGTTGTTGTTTACAGTCAGGAGAGCCATACTCCTTTAAGAAAACACCAAACTCCTTTCCCTCATTCCTGGCCCCAATCAGTAATCACCAAGACTGTCAGCTGCCTGCAGTTATCGGGAAGAGCAGCCTGGGGAAAGTTAAAGGAGCACAGATGGACAGTTGCTTTCTGCATGCAAGTGGCCAGCTAGGATCCGGGGGGCATCCAGCCATGATTTTTATTTCTGTGCTGGATGCATTAGCAGCTGTGGCTTGGAAGGTTTTATCCTGAAGGAGTGGAATTGCTGCAGACGTTTTTGGGTTTGGGCAAACAGTAGATATTTGGGGACATTGTGCTGTTATTGCAGAGCCCCACAATGAAGATCCAGGAGCATCCTAGCCTATCTGACACTAAACAGCAGAGGAATCAAGATGCCGGTGACCAGCAGGAGAGCTTTGTCTCCGAAGTGCCCCAGTTGGACCTGACTGCATTGTGTGATGAAAAGAACTGGGAAGGTAGGGTTGTCTGATACTTGGATGATTTGCCATCATTAAAGCATATATAAATAAGCACAAATGAGAGGCATGTAACCGTGTGAGAGTGTGGGTGAAAGAGAGAGCTATGCGTGCAGAAGTAACTGCATTTCTAAATGACTGAAAATCCTTGACCTGGCATAGGAATACCTCAGGGTAAATGTTGCTGAGGGCGGCTGCAATCTAAGAAAGAAAATACGCTTGCCCTTCATCATAGTGTCACCTTGCAGGCCTTTTATTTTTCTTTGTGACTCACCAGGGGCGCTGATATGTGCGTGTCTTTTCCCCCTCATAGTACCAAGCCGAGTAATAGGGAACCCGTGTGCTCTTAGGATTTCTACCTTCTGTGGCGCGATCTTCCACTGCTGCATGCCAGCCGCCTGCCTCTTTCATGAAATCTCCTTCCCATTTTTCAAGAATGACGTTTTGGTTTGCTTTGTTTCTATGTTTGTTTTTATGGATAGATTTTTTTTTTTTCAGGTTAGCAAATTTAAGGAATTTGCTTATCAGAAAGAACACTGAATACATGCATCTTACTGAAAGCCTGTAATACAGTGAGTGCTTCAGATTTTCTAGAGACTTTGGTGAAAACGTTAGAAATGTACTTGCGAAGAAGAGAGTAGCCTTGTCAAAATTGTGTTTCTAGGAGGATATTGCAGCAGTTTTATCTAGCTGCTTGTTCTTTCATTATCCATGTGTCTGCATCCAAACACATACCAATGTGGATCCAAAATAAATGCCAGTCTACCTCTATACAGTATGTGCGTGACGGCTGCAAGGAGGGAAAAATTGTGCACCTGATTCCAATACAGCAGCATGACTTAACACAATGACTTACCGGGGGTCTTAGCTGTGAAAAATCAGTCCCGTTTCAGCACGTGGATCTCCTTGTCTTCTCTCCCTACCCACTTTCCCCTCTTTTTTAATCCAAGAAGTTATGTTAATGACGTTAGATGAAGGATCAAGAGGAAAGCTGAAAAGACCACCAGGTGAGAAGGAGTAAACTCCATTTCTGGCATCCAGGGCTTCAGTGAAAACAAACTATTTTTTACTCTAGTTCTGTCCTTGCAATCTAAGAAACCTGTTCTAGTTCTTTTTATATAATTAGGCAGTGGATCTGAGATTTTGTCAGACATTTTCAGCTCAAAAGGCATTCACTGAGCAGCAAAACGCAGGGTTGTTTAATTTGTAATTTCAGTTATATATTCCTGAGTACCTTTATGTTCTTTCATTTTTGTGTACTGTGAAAAAGTCACATATTAGTTTTTAATTCGTACGTTAAAAACAACCTTTGCCCCCACCTCCCCCAAAAAAGTCCCATAGTAGTCACTGTTACCCAAATAAAAGAAAAACGTAGTAACCAAAAACATAAATGTTATATTTGCACAAGTCTTAGTGATATGGTCTACACTAAAGCTCTAGATAAAAACTAGGATTTTTGGTTAGAATTCAAATTAGCCATATTTTTTCTTTCTCCTAAAATGGACTCAGTTTGTTATTTTTATCTTGGTTAGTCATAAATGTATCGTCTCTCCCAGCCACTGAAATAATGCTAATATAAAGCTGAGAATACTCTTCAGAGTGACCGCAAGCCAGTTTATAGTTTCCTTAAAGCTATTAACATAAAGAATTTTCCTTCAGATTATAATTGAAGGAACCAACATTTTATTTTAGAAATCTAGATGGATTTTTTTTTAAGTTATTGGAAAAAAATACATTGCATTTTGATAGGCTTGGGAAAGTGGATTGTGTATTCCAAGTAGTTTTTGAGATAACTTGCTTTAACTTTTTTTATTTTTGTTTTGCCAATTACCGCATTTGTTATTGAACGTACATATCTTTAAAATCTACATGAATTCACACTAAGGCCATTCTGATCATTTGGTTACTGCTTTCAGTGACCTTTTTTTTTAAGCTTATGTACTTATTGTAACTTTAGCATTAATATAGCTATAAGGTCGTAATTAGCAAAAACCACCTGAACCAGTATCCACCTGCAAGCCCCCATCACCAGTCTTCAAGCCACCATCCCCTCTTTTGTTTGGTTGCTCCTTCCCATCCCCATACCATAGCTCATACTCTCACATTCACGTGGAATCTTAGAATATCAGGTGAAGCAATACTTACTGCAGAGGCGAGCACCAGCAGGCTATTCACTAAGTACTGCCCCTCCACACGAAAATGATGTTCATTGGCTTCTGGGACTCAACATCAAGGAAACAAAAGGGAAATGAAACTAATAAATAGATTCCATAGGACATGTAGAATGGAACCCTCACAAAGTGAACGTAGGATCCGAGTCTGGTCATGCTTATTGGCAAATACTAGGCGTACTTTATCCTTTTTAAATATACATAGCTGTTTTATTATTTGCTTTATCCATATGACTGTTATTACTAGGATTTCCTTTCACCAGAGTTAAATGAATATACAAATTTAATATACTATTCTGTGTTATTTAAAGCTCTTCAGAGTTGCATAATTAGAATGTTCCCAAGCAGTCAATTATGTTGATTTGAGGATACTCCTTGTGTAAGTACTGGGGTTTAAGCAGTCAGCTACTCTATTCAATATGTCCTGATGAAATTAAATTTAAAGGGGCATTTTAAGCCAGGCATGGTGGTCTGTGCCTGGAGTCCCTACTACCTAAGGGGCTGAAGCAGGAGGATCACTTCAGCCTGGGAGTTCAAAACCAGCCTGGGCAACATAACAATTCCCCATTTCAAAAACTGGGGAGCTGGGTGGTATTTTTAAAAGGGCATAAGATACTTCATATATCTAAAACATACTGCTTGTTGAAAGTAACTTTGGAAAGGAAATTCGCTAAAAGTATCATAGAAAAGCAAGAGATCTCAAAAGACCTTCCGCTTGAACCTTCCTGTTATACAGATAAAGAATACTGAGGCCAAAAGAAGCAAACTGATGATTCAGAGTAACAAAGTCTCCTCACTTCCACTTGATGCCTCTTTCCAAACAATGTCAGTTTTATATCCTTACAGGCAACAGATCAAAGTAGTTACAAGCCAGATTCCCTGGGTTCAAATCCTGGCTCTGCTGCTTATCAGCTTTACGACAAGTTAGTAAACCTGCCTTGGTTTTCACCTTAATTTTCCCATCTTTAAATAGGGTGGTAACAGTAGGTAATAATGAATAGTCGATACAGTAGTATCTATTTAATAAGTAATGCAAGGATTAAATGAGCTAAAATATGCTAAGTGCGCAGCACAGTATGGGCACTTAGTAGGTATTATGTGAGTGTTAGTTTTATCTTCCATAAATCTTTCCAAGTATAGCTTCAGGAAAAGACAGCCTAAGTTTGCCTTCTTTGAAACCAGAGTGCAGTTTACCAAATGGCCATGGATGACTCTGAACACAAGAGGAATCAGTATTACTAGGTCCTCTACAGATTTACTAAGGATTAACCACGTCACACCAACCTCCTTTCTTTGATATTATTAATACTAGACTCTAGATTAGGGAAATGGTGCATTTGAAAAGACTTCAGCTGGGCCTCTGACAGGGCCTTAATGATAGCCTGACTGTCAGAGAAGCAGGAGAGAAGACAGGTGGGGTAGTGAATTAGTAACTGATGAAACAACTGTTCTTAAATGTGCACATAAGTGGATCCAAGTCAACTCACACGGGGGTATTCTCATTAGGTAAAAAGTCCTCAGCCCTATCCTGTTCCACACATTTATTAATGATTTAAATGGAGCTACTAAGGGCTTGCTTGTTAACTTTGCAAACAGGGACAAAGCAGTTATATGAAATGTAAGGATTAAATTTGTGATTGATAAAGCTGACTACTCTAGTTCTTCCTAACTCTGATAGTTTACAAGACTAATTGAACAATTTAATAGGACTAACATTGTTCTAAATTTTGGAACACTAAAAATGTTATAAAATTCTTTCAGGAAAGAGCCTCCACCATGAGGCTTGTATCTTTCTATGTCTGGGATGTCCAAGTACCTCCTAACTCAGCTGAGCAGAAAGATGGTTACATCTTGCCAAGGAGTAATGGCTCTAAATAATACAGTTGGAAAGGAAATGTGGAAAACATCAGCCCCCTTAATTCTGTGCAGATTTCTGAGAAATAAATCATCTCAATAGCCGGTTTTCTTTTGTATAGTAAGTGGATCCAGCCAGCCAAGCAGAGAGTAGCTATGTCCCAGTGACCACGATAGCATTACTCAGAGATATGTCCCTCTTTCTACAGAAAATTTCCGTTATATCCATGTGTACTATGGAGTCTGAACTGGAAGTCCCCCAGGGCCTAGTCTTTTTTATTACTTCAGTAGCAAGCATGCAGCTTTTATCTCTGTTATTTCAGACCTGCTGCGATGTCAACTGACCTGGGTGGATTAATTTTTAATAGAGAGGCATGTCATACTTATGTCCAGAGTTCACTGTGACAAGACACATGACTAGAAGCAAAACTAACTGTATACAAGGAACTTTGGTCTAGATATGAAAATGCATTTATTTTATGTGGTGCTTTAGCAAGACAGTCCAGTGTGAAGCCTCACATGCCTCTTGTTTTTCCCTTTGAATAATTTTCTTGCAACATCCCTGTCTCTTTCCTTGCTCTAGCATTGCTAGTTAAAATATAAAATATTGCCCAAAGTAGCAACTGGGAATGGTAAGTGAATACATTCTCAAATCCAGCTCTCTAGGCAGGCGGTGAAATTAGACCTATTACCTACCACACTACCTTATTTAGTTCTTTTTTGTTGTTCTAGTTGAGTGCCAACTATCAAAATGTGAGCCTTGTGCTTTTAGATCATTTCAAACTAAAATGGGGAACAGTTTTACTGATTCCTTAGTTATAGTGAACTGTGTATTACATGTCATTTTATAACTCTTTTGAATAGAAGCCTTAAACTATAAGACGATCGAATAACAGAAAAGAGAGAAAAAGGGGAAAATCATGTAAGCATCTTGTGTTGCATAGATGAGAAACCTTTCACTTCTGTTCTACATGCATACCTTTTTATTAAAGTCGAAATTTCATATAGTTTTACATTTCTCATTTTAAAATAAGTGAATTCATTCACCCTAACTATATGCTTTAGGAGAAAATGTCACTGATAAGCTAGAATTACTGCAGCTGTGTATTTCCTGTATACCACGGGAGACACTAGGAAAAGGACACATTTGATCTCCCTGTCAGTGAAGCAATTGATCAAGAATAAAGCCACAAAATAAAGCTGTGTTAACAAACAAGAAAACTGATGGATGGCCCTGCCATTAGCCACAAAGCATCAAATAATGATTATTCAGTTCCATGATTAGCATTTTATAGTGAATTCAAGATCACAGTTTATCTTATCTCACACACTTATAAGTAAATATTTGTATACACAGAGACCACCTAGTTGAAAACTTAAAGAAGAGTTGTAACATTTTTAAGGAAATATTCTGCTAGATTCTAACACATTAAAGGGCTTCAGGATGTAAGGTAACACCTTTTAAACTAAGTTTTTATGAATAGAAACGTCAAACTAACCAGCACACTCAAATGCCAATATCAACATCAGACTTTGCTTTGCCAAAGCCCTCTGTCCCCAGGAAGGCTTTGCTGCTTTGCCACTCTGCGGTGAGCTTATTTTCTGCTGCATTACTGTTCGAGCCATCTTAACCCTTTCCCTCTCCTGGGGAAAGTCCTTGCAGAAAATTACGCGGTCTCATGAAATATCATGACAGAGAAGATGCAAGCTGGTCAGTTTAATAGCTCCATTTTCTGCAGCTGACATGTTTTATTTTTTCTAGGGGTTGCTTTCCACTCCCCCCTCGTTACTTCGCCTCTCAGTCCATTTTCTATTCTTTTATGTTGGCAGTTTGAGCTGCTTGTGCCCAAGTCCTACCAGTTAGAAGGAGCAGACCGATAATGTTAGCACAAATGATGAAACAACTCCTGTTCGTCTCCAGCTTTCGCCAAGCACATCTACTAGCATGTCCTCTGCCACTTTTTGAGCCTCAATAGATACGAATCTGTCTTTCACACTGCTTTCATTTCTCAGAATGTTTGTATTTTTGTCTGCATTTCCAGATAACCTAGCTCTCTTTAAATTTCGAGAACCTGTGGACCTCATTCCATATAAAGTAATTTTTTAAATTAATATGCTTATCCTCCCTATTATGTGGGATCTACAAAAATCTCAAAGCTGCCACTCTTATGGAAGCACTTGGCACATTCTAAGTTGTAGCATGGATCTGAAAGTCAGGAGACTTAGCTTCTAGACCCACCTCTTAGGGTTTCAGTTTCCTTATCTGTCAACTGCCGGGTCGGATCAATCGTTCTCAAACCTGGCTGCACATGAGCATCACCCGGACAGCTTTTAAACTTGTGTGTGTGTGACGGGCAAATATCTGGACCCTCACCTAAATGTTGTTGACTTGGATGGTGTGAGAAGCCTGCTTTCTGGTAGTCATTTATATTTCCCTGTATGACTTCAACGTGCGGCCAGGATTGAGAAATCACAAAATTAGTTGAGGTATGAAGTCACACCCAGCTGTAACATTCTAGGATTATCTATTTTTAAATAGAAGCCTGAATAAGCACGTATTCAAGATAGTTTTGCACATTTTATAGTATGATAGGTAGAGGAGCAACTGTTCCGTGATTCAAAGTCTAGGAATCCCAGAATTGAAGATCATGGCCAAATTCTAGCCTTGTGTAAATCACAGTAATCCACAAGTAAATTTAAAGCATAACTCATTTTATAATGCAAACATTACAAATGAAATACCTTATCTCATCGACATCTATTTTTTAAATCTTTTAGATGGGTTTTTTTAAATGAGGAAAGGAGTCTATTGAGGTGTCTTACAGTAAATAGAAATAAACAATTGCCTTCTTCCCTCCCTAAATGACAGATCAAGATTCTGTGCTGAGCATGTTATTTTTTTTTTAACAGATTATCTAAACTGATTTGTACAAATTTGTCCTTTGTAAGGTGTTCATTTTTCCTCTGTTGGCTAATTTATGTATGCATCTCACTCTAACTGGAGTCTTGAGCAGCTTCTGAAGTTTCGAGCGCAAAGCATGCATCTTAAATGTGCTAATCCCAACACACTTAAGCAGAAGCACACAAAACAGCTTACTGGATGACCTCAAGGGAAGTTATAAACTCCTAAATACATAGGCTCTCTCAAGATTGATGTGGTTCCTTAGCTTGACTCCTCAGTTGTTTAGTGAAGGCTGTACAGCTGTGATGCCAAATATCTCCCCCATCAACACATTTTCTTTTTTTTTTTTTTTTTTTTTTTGACAGAGCCTCACATCCTCTGGAGGGGAGGGACACCTGTGTCCTCAC